TTTTTATAAAAATTATATTGTACCACAAAGATCATATAAAAAATGATCTACATATACTCTACCCTTAATCAAATTTTGTCTATATATAAATTCTTAATCAGATTTTGCTTTTATGTATAAATAAATCTTAATTAGATTTTACCTAAATATAAAAATTTTAGCTTATATAATTTAACACATATGCATTATACCATACCCTAATTAGATTCTAAGATCAGGTATAATATTACATGATCAGGAAATTCAAAACAAGTATTTATTTTACCAAAAATCGCTTATAACTCAAAATTTCACATTTAGTGACGAAAAGGAAAAAACCTGTAAATCATTTCACTCATTGAGTGAGATGATTTACAGGTTTTCCCTTTTCGTCACTCATATGCAACTACCTTTTGAGTTTTAATATAAAAATTCCTTCAAAAATTTTACTATTGATTTATACTTAATTTATATGAACACCGCAAGAAAAAACCCAATATCGGGTTAAATTATATTTTGTACAAGACAACTATATAGTTAGTTAGAAATTATATTCTGTACAAAATATAATTAAAAAGCCTGATGTCAGGATTTCCTTGGTAACACTCAAAATTTTTATTTATAAAATGCTGATGGGATAAAATGCGCATGAATACCCGATCATGCGCTCGCATGAAACCCATCTCTACAACAAACCAAAATTTTATTAAGAATCACAGTATATTACGAATCAAACAAAAATCAAACAATAAAATAAATAAAACCAAACTAAAAAACACAAGTAAAAATGTTTAAATTTTATCTAGAAAAAATATTTAAAACCGATTTTCAATGCTTGTCTAACGTCATACTGATTTTTAATTTATTTAATTATAAATAAATTAAATATTATTAACCATCGAATTTCATGGTCAATAAGTTGGCTTACTAATAATAATATATATATATACTAAAATACGTTTAAATTTAATTTGAGAAAATAAATATTATTACCTCATTTACTATATTGACAGATTCAAAAATTTTTACAATTCATAACATATTACTAACTTTTTAAAAATATAAACATCATTACCTGCTTGAAAGATTCAAAGATCGACTTGTATAAATAGCTTGTGGATGTGTCTGATATTTGAATTGTGTCGATTTGAATTGATCATATGTTAAGAAATTTTTGTCTAAATCTTTAATATTTTTAACTTGCTTAGACAATTCAGTCTTTTCATACACCAAATCATTAGAAAATTTATTTAGCGTTTTAGCTAGTTCTCTAGCAGTTGGTCGATTTTGAGGTACGGCGTCTAAACATTTATTCATCAAATCCAAAAGTAATTGAGGAACTTCGCATCTGATTTCAGGTTTCTGACCTTTCAGTATTTTTATTTCTAGATGATGGTCATGCGGAATGTCATGATATGGAGGATATCCAGTTAAAACTTTTGACATAATTATTCCAAAAGAATAAATATCTGACTTCTGAGTATATACAGTACTATTTTATCTTTATCCACTGACGCTCTTAACAATTCTGGATTAACATAAGGAAGTACACCAAAAAGCTCTTCAGAATCTGCGTCTCGTGATACTGGCCTACATAAGCCAAAATCAGTAATAAAATAATCGCATATATTTTGATTAACTATATTCCCAGAATGAAAATCTTTATGCACCAAATTGGCTTCGTGAATTGTCTTAAGTCCGTCAGCTATGTAATATAAGTTAAAAATTTTAGAATACCAATCTAATTCATTATATCTACTATCTAACTACTTTCGGAGGCTTCCTTGCTTTGCATACTCCATAACCATCATATAATTATCATCATCTTGATTCTTGGTTATTCCATAAATCGAAACTGCCGAAATTCCACCATGCTTATGTTGACATTCAACCTAAAATATTTATTAAAATAAATAATTATTATACTTTGTTATACCAAATTATATAAATGCTTACTTCTTTCAAAAATTTTTTGTTTAAATCTTTTGAATTATCAAGGCTTTTTAAACACACTTCTATTAGTGGCTTTCTCAGCCATTCATTATCAAGAAAATCGAGTTCGTTGATATTTCCGTCAGTCCATACTGCCTTAAAAACCGTGCCAAAACCGCCTTTAGCAAGAAACTTTATATTCGTAAATTGGTTAAAAGGAATCCATTCAATGATGTCTCTAAACTTTTCTGCATTAATTTGCGTTTGTTGAATAAAATCATCGATATCTGGATTTCCACTTGTCCAATCACGAAACTCAGTTTTAAATCTTGAACATTGTGAGAAACTTCTTTTAATAACAATAGTATAAAAAATCACACTTTAAAATAAAATAAATACCGTCTGTTGTGAATTAGCAGATAATAAATTAGAGGTTCGTTTTCCTTTAGAATTATCACGATTTTTAACTTGATTTGAAAAATATTCTTATAGTGTCAACTTACATGCTGGTATGTAGTTTATTTTTTGTGCAACAGATATAACAGATGATTTGAATAATCGTACGTGATTTTTAACTTGATTTGAAAAATATTCTTTTAATGTCAACTTACCGACTAATGTTATGTAGTTTATTTTGAGGGAATTTACAAATAAGGGCCCAGAAATATAAGCATAGATAATTGTGGTTATTAAGTATATTTTGTTTGTCTTATAAATAATTCTAAATGTCCATAATAAAACAATCAATAATCCTATAATCGCGATTTGTTATTGTTATAAGTCAAATGGTCAGAGTACTTTGTGGCACAGTAGTTCAGTGATCACGTTTTCATCCATCAATAGACTTAGGCCCCTGTATGTAATACCGTATTTCGCGGGCCAAACCACCCCTCCCTGTAAAATAATTACCGGATAATATGGATATTTTGATGGTGCATGCGGATGCATAATATATTTGTTATGTCTACTACGTACCGGCGATTGGTTTTCTATACTGTAGTGATAAAACAACATACAAGTTATTAATTTGATATGCACCATGGAAATATCCGCATGATCCGACAGGGGAGGGGTGGTTTGGCCCGCGAAATACGGTATTTTTTAAAAATTAGCTCTCATGTGTAATTATTTTTAATTTGGGCCCGTATTTGTAATTATTTTCACTTTCCGGACCCTTATTTGTAAATTCTCCTTTATTTTTTTGTGCAAAAGATACAACAGATATTGAATTATCATACGTATTTTTAACTTGATTTGAAAATTGTTCTTATAATGTCAACTTACTCGCTGTTATGTAATGTATTTTTTGTGCAACAGATACAACAGAATTGAGATGTAGTTATTAGATTTGAATTATCGTACGTGATTTTTAACTTGATTGAAAAATATTCTTATAATTTCAACTTATCAACTAGTGTTATGTAGTTGATTTTTTTATGCAACAGATACAACAGATATTGCGATGTAATTATTATATTTGAATTATCGTGCGTGATTTTTAACTTGATTTGAAAAATATTCTTATAATGTCAACTTACATGCTGTTATTTTTTGTGCAATAGATACGTACAACAGATATTGAGATGTAGTTATTAGATTTGAATTATCGTACATGATTTTTAACTTGATTTGAAAAATATTCTTCTAATGTCAACTTACGAGCTGTTATGTAGTTTATTTTTTTGTGCAACAGATATAACAGATATTGAGTAGTAGTTATTAGATTTGAATTATCGGACGTGATTATTAACTTGTGGTGAAAAATATAGTGCCAACTTACGGACTGTTATGTATTTTATGTTTTTATGCAACAGATACAACAGATATTGAGATATAGTTATTAGATTTGAATTATTATACGTGATTTTTAACTTGATTTGGAAAAATATTCTTAAAATGTCAACTTACTCGCTATTGTTTTTTTGCGCAACCGATACAACAGATATTGAGATGTAATTATTAAATTTAAATTATTGTTCGTGATTTTTAACTTGATTGAAAAATATTCTTATAATTTCAACTTACCAACTAGTGTTATGTAGTTTATTTTTTTGTACAACATATACAACAGATATTGAGATGTAGTTATTAGATTTGAACTATTGTACGTGATTTTTAACTTGATTTGAAAAATATTCTTATAATGTCAACTTACAAGCTAGTATTATTTGTACAACAGATATTGAGATGTGGTTATTAGATTTGAATAATCGTACGTGATTTTTAACTTGATTTGAAAAATATTCTTATAATGCCAACTTACCGACTAGGTTTTTTTTTTGTGCAACAGATGCAGATATTATATCATTAAATCCAAGTATTTTTAAGATACTTGATTTTTACTACACTTACAGTTTGTTAACTAACCCAAGAAGCTTAGATGCCCATGCATCATGTGGATTAATTTCCAATAATTTCTCCAGATCAGCAATCGAGTCTTTATATCTTTTCATCATATAATAAATTTCTCCTCGATATCTTAGCGCTATGATATTATCTAGTTCAATTCCTAGCAGTTTAGTTAAATCTTCAAGTGCCTCCTCATTTGCCTACAATAAAATAGAATTTTCCTGATAGCTTAAGTCAATTGTATCATTTTGATTTTTTTCCAGTGATTTGGTTAATTACCTTATTAAATCAAGAAGAGTTTCTTCATATTCGCCCTCAATAAAATAAATTTTTTCTTGATATTCAACTGTAAATGCATTATTTAATTTGTTTTTAATATCTTTATTAGTCATTACTATTAATAAAAATAGATTAGTAAATACTAAACCCGATTACCAGTTATCGTTATCCCTATAGACAATTTAAATAAATTACCAGAATATTCAAAGCTTCTATCTCCAAAATTTCCTTCAATAAATCCTCCTTGCGTTCTAAATCCGAAACAAGGATATAGACTGCCTTCTTTCAGATCACAGGGCAAATGGCACGCAATTCCTTGAAATATGTCATAAAGCATTAAATTTTTATCTAAGATTTGGAAATATTAAAATTTAATTAAAGTAATAATTACCTAAGTTTATTCCATTTTTAGTATAAAATACTATCTTGTTTCTGTAATTTAAATAGCATCCAATAGTATCACCACTAGTATATCCAGGAGTATCTGATAAATCATATGGCTCGACTCTTACAGAACAAAATAAGTATCCATCATCGCCGTGATAACCCCAAGAATTATATTCTTGCCTTAAATGTATTATGACAAAGGTATTGACCTACAACTATAAATAAATGTCGCAGCTGATGCTGAAATTCGGCCTATTTTGATATGAAATTTTAAAAATTTTTGAGGTGTTTTTCCCCGCTTTTTTTATAGTTAAACTGGTGTTTAGGGTTAGAATTGATAATTAAAGAGTATATGTGGATTTTAGAAAGGTTTATATTTTTAAATCGAAACCCCAAATTCCAGCATCAGTCGTTTTCAGCATCAGCTGCGACAATAAATAAGTAAATAAATAAAAGGAATTAACAATAAGTTTGTTTACCAGGCAATGCCATCATATCAATATATTTTGTTTTTTTCAACTTGATCGGTTTCCTTTGTTTTTTTCATCTGTTTTTTATCTTGATCGGTTGCCTTTGTGCAAAATCCGATTCCAATCATTCTTTTAAGAGTTAAGTTATATATATATTAAATCATTATGAATAATAATTTCAATGCAATTAACTTTCTTAAGTGCATCTCGATCTTACTGCGATACCGTTATTGTGCTTAAAGGAATAAACCATTCATGCTCTTTTGCCAGAAGAGGCTGTACTATATTTGAAAAAAATCAAACATATAGATGCACTTAGAGTTGACTGTATATCATAAATTGTTATTAGTATTACCCATTGTTTCCTTTATCGATAATTTTGACTTCAAAATAAAAGAATTGCACTGCGAAGGAATCGGATTATTCGTCCGAATTATAGCCGCAACTTTATCATCTGATCCTTTATTTCAAAATTAATAAGTTATATAACCTTTAATGTATTCAAGATATCTCAATTCATTAGGATCTTTAAGTGAATCCTTTTATTAAAAAATACAAATTTATTACATATAGTTAAAAAAAACTTCGTGACCACCTCACCTATATACAGTATTTGACTTTAAGTCCATCTGTGTTTAAAAGTGATGAATCAAATTCGTTCCACGCGGTCGGCAATAACATTTTTATATAAAACTAATTAACTCATCAAAAAGCAAAATTTTGCTTATTATAAAAAGAAATTTGTGCATGATGATAACGCAGTTTTAAAAGTAATTACAGCAGAGACAGTGCCCGATCCAAAGTGAATCACTCTCGCCTGTAATCAATCACGAATTAAATTATTTATGCTTGTAATGGAAATATGTGGTCATAGTAACTCGTCGTAGTAGCTACCAAATCGGTAGTACGAATGACAACATATGCTCCAGGCTCCCGATCGAAGAAAAATCGTACACCAAGCCCCAACGTGGAAACCCATCACCCAACCAAATAAAGGAAAGGTAGATCGAGACTTACCCGTTCGCACAGTGGCAGTTGGACTTGGACGTTAGCTCAATTTTGACCTATTTTGAATAATTGTGAGGTAGTGGCTAAGAAGTACGATTGTGGTAATAATGTTGAGATTTGACCACGGAAAAATTGGCACCGAAACATTTCTCTTCTGCTCTATATCGACCGTGAGAAATGCTAAAGCGACGAAAGGCTGTGTATGGAAGTGTTAAAGTTAGTACAAATAAGGTGAAACAGGGTTGGAATTAAAGGAGAAAACTTCGTTCTTGTACTTGCGGTAATTTTGTTATAAATAGAAGTGGAATTTTCCCTCATGTAAAATATAAAAATGTAAAATATAAAAATGTAAAATATAAAAATGTAAAATATAAAAATGTAAAATATAAAAATGTAAAATAGAAAAATGTGTGCCCTACATAATAAACTCGGTAATAAAGACCTTTCAATCTACTGAAAAATAAACACTCTTTAAAGTCTCTGTCCTTATCTGGTAACGCTCTCGAAATCCACCTTAACCTGTGCCAAATCGTAACCGCCTCGCCTAAACTTTCGAGTGGCGTTGCGCAACGTCGACGAACTTCAAGCGACAATTCGTCATATTCCTTCTGCTTGTTGGTGTGTACGTTTCCGCTCAATTAGCCTCTGACAATGTGTAACATTAACGGTCTCTGCTGTAAAAAGTAACATTTAGTTGTTGGCGTGCGTACATAATTTTTGTCAAGGATACTGGATTTGTACAATGTTCGATTCATTTATTTCTGTAAAAATGGAAACGATTGTCAAAATCGGTACAAAAAGAATTATCAAGTATACTGTAATTGTTAAAGTATTATAAGAAAAATAGAATAGAAAAGGATAGTATTAATAAAAAAAAAATTAAGTGTCGATTTTTAGTCCAAAAAAAAAATAATGCATATATATAGCGAAAAATTGCTCGAAAATAATAGTATAAGTTCCTTTGTATTGTCGTGGGTAAATGCAATAGTGGTGCAGATCAGGCTCAAATATGTAGAACTCCACACAAGACAGTATTTAGCACTTCTATAGACGTGCCATTTATATGATATCCGAATTTTTTTCGCGTACAGTACGTATAGTTGTATAGTGTGTGTAGCATACGTAATACACATAATATATGTAGCATTTAGGAAAATCGGCGAGTCTGTCGCTAGTTCCTTCCAATCCTCGTATGCTTTGAGTATATGGTTTTGCTGTGTACTCACCCATATGATAATTAATACTATAAGTACTTAATGGAATAACCATGAGCGGATTGAAGCTCAACTGTCTATGGAAGTGTTTGATAGTATCGATCTGCATCAGATTCGTATTAGAAATTATGATACGACAGGGTGAAACCTGAGTTGAAAACACCGTGTAACCTACGGCGACTAAGTCGAATAGGCGTGTTAGATTTGGCTGGTTGGTTTATCCGTAGGTAAGTACTACTCTTCTCTTCTAAGTCCTTCCTTTAACCTATTCTTCTATTAACCCTTGCCTTCTCTTATCCTCTCTTTACTTCCTTAACCTGGGGTTAGATGCGTCGAATCGGAGTTAAAGTTCTTCTTTTGCGTTAACGGCTTGGTCACGTGACTTACGGCGAACGATCAAAATGCGGGTTAGTGATTTACAAAGAGGCGAACGATATGGATAACGATGGGCTTAACGACAATTATTTAGTTTGTGTTGGGTTATGGTTCACTTTTAATATGGGTCAGGAGCGTATTTTTTATGTATTGCAAAATGTATTGACTTGGGGGTATCTCTTGTTACTTTTCCCCCTGGGCAGAAACTCCTTTATTTATAATAAAAGTTTTATTTACATTCGAGGTTAATTTCCTCTAAATTATCTATTTACACGATGTCATCATTAAAACCCTTTTCCTCACTATAATAAAGAAAAACCGAATGTCCTATATGCCGTCGATCTACCCGAAGTAACAAAAGTATTAAAAGTATTAAAAGTAAGAAAAGTAAGATTTCTCTCACTTTTCATGTGGCCAGTTACTGGGGTGGTATATCTGTTTAACAAAAAACACAAGTACCAAATTTTTACTATATTATTATTATTTTGAATATTACATATTCTTGTAAATTATTTTTTTGTATATTGACTAAAAGCATTACCTACTGCAATCCATAATAATTCTAAAACACTGCATGTAGATGTATAGCTAACTATCTTTTTAAGCCTTTTTAGATATGTTATATATCAAAGTTCAATAGTCATCAATTTTAAATTGACTTAGCTTAAAATTTAGAATCAACATACAAATAGAATTTTATTTCAAGTTAATATTATGTCAATTTAAAGTTAACAATAATTGTTGCTGTCATAATAAACTTAGCAAATTTTTTATGTAATAATTAATAATTAGTAAATATATATAAATTAGCTTTTTTTTTTTAATATTATCACAATAAAAAATAATAGCAAAGATTATCCATTTTACATGAAATGTTTTTAATTTATTTTTAGAAAATTATATTAAAAGTAAAGATATCTGTTATCAAAAAAAATTATTCATTTTTCTTTAGTTTTTTTTTTTAGTTTCAAGGGTGATCTGTTTGTGTGTCTTTTTATTATTAGTAATATAAGATTACATATTATATACAGAGTATATTAATGAAAGTGCAACTAGTCACATATATAACTTTAGTTATTATATAATTAAAGATTTCACCTATAGGCTACCCACTAGATGTCATATCTGAAACTTGCCTATGAGTCCCCTATTTAAACTTTTTGATTTTTAACACTTACTGCATATATATAATGTATTTTACTATTATCATAACAGAACAAGTTAGAATTATCTATTTACTATTTATATCTAAGTACCACCTTATTGGATATTATTAAGTATCAATAGTTCTTTGAATTTACCCTTGACACAAACTTACTAAGTATAATACTAAGATTATCCCTTAGATTTATTCAATTTTAGTAGATCCTGTATCTACTAGAACCAGTTTAGTATCAGAAGTATTCAAATTTCAGTAAGTTCATTCTTTTTTCATAGTTTTCTGTTATGTTTACTGTATTACCTGCTAATGCACCTTTTCTCCATTTTTGATATGTTTATTACTTCTCTTACATCGAGTGTCAACTCTCCATATTGGAAAACTTTTTTCTAGAAACTTCTTTATACATTGATCTTCTAATCATATGAACTTAGTTATAGGGTTTCATGTACATTCATATGCTTTTATAGATTACAGAGTTTTGTCTCTAGCTAGAATTGAACTGTTGATCTTGTCTGTAAAAAGAGGGGTGCCTAGACCACTAGGCTATGAGACTCATTTCTAAAAAAATTATTTATAACATAACAAACATATAATTAAACTATACATATTATTTTAAATTCTAAAACAAGTTGTAAAACAGCTTAAGATAGGTACTGGATGTGATCAACCTTCATAGTAAAAAATATTAGAACTGAAAAAGATTCAAATTATTATCTTTATTATAAAGATAAACCTATTGTTATAAAAAAAGGCTTTATTATATTCTTTGTAATACATATAGAACACAACAACATGACAGCCAACAAAAATTATAGAATGAATTTTGAAATTAATATAGTTTTATCTATCAAGATTTGGTTAAAAAATTTGTTACACAATGTAAAACTTGTGAATTATGATATAATTTCTTTCAATATATTATAGCAAAACTAATAATTTATACAAAATTTATGACAAGAATTGAGGTAATTAATAATTATAATTTTAATTATTATTATAAATTTTTATTAAATTATTATTAATTATATAGGTTGATTTAATTTCAATAACAAGTAAATCTAATATAAATTTAGATACAAAAGATTATTTTTCAAAATTATGTTGGTTATTAACTTTAACTTCTAAATATGCTAATGAAGTTGTAGTTGTATTTTTTAATATTTTTATAGTATTTGATTCTCCTGTAATCTTATATACTAACAATGATAAAAAATTTACAGCAAGTATAATTAATCAATTAATATCTATATGGCCAGGTGTTCAAATTATTAGTGGACATCCATGGCATTCAGAGTCTTAAGGATCTATTGAAAAGGCTAATAATAGTCTAGAATATAAGTTATCTAAATAGATAAAAGATAAAAAAACACAAATTGGATACAAGAACTTCTATTAGTAACACATGCAATTAATACTAAAATATCTCATATTATAAAACATACATCTTATAAATTAGTCTTTGGTCAAAAACCACAAATGCATCTTCCTTTCTTATCTATATTTTATAAAGTAATATAATTTATAAAAAAAAATTAGTTAATAGAATAATTCTTAATGCTAATTATAAAATTTACAATAATATTAAATTAAATCTAGCCAATAAATCTGAACATAATATTGAATTCATTCAAAATATTGAACTAGAGCAAACTATTGAATCAGAACAAATTATTGAAACTAACCAACATATTGAACTCAATAAAATCAATAATCTTAAATCTAATTAAAGCATTAAACTCAACCAAAATATTGAACCCAGTCAAAGTATCAAATCTGATCAAAACATTGAACTTATTCAAAATATTAAAGTTAACTAAAGCATTGGATCTAACCAAAACATTATATTTAATCAAAATATTGAACCTAACCAAACAATTAAATCTTAGCAAAATATTGTGTTCAACTAAAAAAATCAAACCATT